TGCTTTTTCCGTTGAGCAGAGATAAGCAGAAGGGTCACAGCCTCACAGGTGATGGTCGCGCTGCTGCGACTTTGTCATGGAGAGATGCATTCTCTGTGTGTGAGAACATGGTCTCATTCATCATTCATCTTTGTGATTGTGTTTGTGGGGGCTCTCTTCCATGCCGTGGTGTAGTCGGTGTATTTTTATAGATTGTGGGTGCTTGTAGGATATCATGATCTAATATGTGAAATAAGGGGTGTGACTTACTTCTTGTATGATGAATTCCATCTGTACTTCGTACTTTGGCAGAGCACTGCAGTTGTTCCTTAGACTGGGTTATGTTTTCGGTTTAGCATTTGTGAACCTTGTGGGCCCCATAGTCGTTGATGCCTCCTAGAATATTGCTTGGCGCCGTTGGCGGACTCGGAGCTCGAAGTCAAAGTAGACATAAGTAGACATAACCATGGTTATGACTGGATTAGTCATGACTGATTTATCCGTGTTGCAAGTGCTTTTTTTTTTTGCTTTTTTTTTTTCTTTCTATCGGAGTGGGCATGCCAGTCCCCTTTTTTGGTTGTCGCCAGCTATTGGAATGGGTTTTCTGAAAGACCTGTGCCTTGTTGTTGTGGACAGCTATTGGAATGGGTTTTTTGAAAGACCCTTTTTGGTGTTTACATGATGATGATGATGATGATGCCGAATCTGTTGCGGATGTGCTGATTCTTTGGCCCAGTACATTGGCCGAATCTTATGTTGGCGATGATGATGGCGGGGGATGAGATGGAAGAGGAGAATGAGGTCAGTGAGGAGGAGGTGGGGATGGAGTCGGCGGAGGAGGATGAGGAGAAATAGATGCTATGTTTTGACTGTTCCCCGATTGGAATGTAAAGTAGGTCTGCATGCTATGGTTTATCTGTTCCAGGAGGGGGAGGAGGAGGAGGAGGAGGTGGAGGAGAGTGAGGGTGATGGAGGATGAGGAGAATGAGGAAGGATGAGGATGAGGTAGATGGAGGATGAGGATGAGAATGAGGTCGATGGAGGACGAGGAGAATGAGGATGATGGAGTATGAGGAGTATGACGTGGAGGGAGGATGAGGATGAGGACTTTAGAGGACAATGGAGGGCGAGATGGAGGGGGAGGAATACATCCTAAGACTGTTCCGTGAATGGTATGTAAAGGTCTACATGCAATGGGTCAGGACTTTGTAAACAAAACATGGAGTCAGACCTAGTTTTGCCTCCTGTTTTTTAATTCTTTTATTTCTTCAGGACTGTTTTGTTTTTTTGAAGGATCAAACTTTATTGATATGAAAGCCGGGAACTGGGGCCCGCCGGCGTCCTTGCTGCAGCTATGTGCTGAGCGAGGCTCTCTGCCCAGGCAAAGCTCGTGCCACGACTCTTTGAGCAACTACAATCCGTTCTTCTCATACGGAGGCCGGGGACCTCACAATTCGACCCGGAGTTATCCTGGCAGCCTCAGCCAGTTTCGCTTACGAGCCAAGCTCGCAGACCTACCAACTGTTCCAGATTTTATTTATTTATTTATTTGNAACCCGGAGTTATCCTGGCAGCCTCAGCCAGTTTCGCTTACGAGCCAAGCTCGCAGACCTACCAACTGTTCCAGATTTTATTTATTTATTTATTTATTTATTTATTTATTTATTTATTTATTTTTAATTTTTTTGGAAAATTTCAATATGTATTGCCAAAATAACGATGGGAAGAGGCTGGGGACCTCACAATTCGACCCGGAGTTATCCTGGCAGCCTCAGCCAGTTTCGCTTATGAGCATATTAGCTGGATCCAATCAACTGCTCAAAGTAACTCCTCAGTCCTAGCTGGAAACAGGGTCCAGCGTCCCATTCTACACCGAAATACTTTCCAAAAAGCAAACCTTGAAGCTCATCGATTTTCCAAAAAAGGGGAGCTTTCTGTAAACCAAAAGCTCTTCGATTTTCCGAAGTTTGCCTTTAAGCTCAGAAATAGGGGCTGTCCAAAAGAAATAACTTTTAAGCTCTGACAGCAGTTTAAAAAACGGTAATACTCCCATGCGGACCTAGACTCGGTCCTGCTTAATCATGTGTATCTGACAACCATGAGCATATGGCCAAGCGACCATTTTGGTCGATAGAAGCTAATCTGGTACCCGTGCCGAAGTTCTCTGAAACCACACAGAATTCTTCTGTTTCCAGTCGGCCATAATTATTCTCCTTATTGATTGCTTGATCTGGCGTTAGGCTACTAGAGTATGTGCAGGCTGAGTAGGAGGCTCATGTAGGCGTACACATCATAGCTAGAGAGACTACCCTATTGTTGCATCGGTTCTTCAAGTTGGAGGCACAAAGAGGGCTTTCATTGTCAAGAGACTTTAATGTTCGGTGTCTTCTTGGGAAAAAAAAAAAAAAAAAAGATCTGGCGTAGTTGCTGTATACTGGCTGTGTTCTTGCCCTTGAACAGCCTAGAGTTCCGGGCCGCCCTTGAACAGCCTAGAGTTCCGGGCCGCCCAGATGGTTGCCGTCACAACCCCTCTGCAGCACAGGGCCACGTATCCCCACCCCGAAGCATAGCACTTTTCAGTAGTAAGAATACTAAGGATACCTGTGAGCATCTAAGTGTCCTACCACTCCAACTCTTTCCCCACTATCTTATCCCAGTGTCGTTTCCACCAAACCAACAACACCTCATCCACCAGAGGACAGTATAACCAGAGGTGGATCATGTTCTCCCATCCCCAGTTACACCTAAGATATTGCGTTGGGACGTCCGTTCCTTTATCTGACAGCCACATAGCAGTAGCCGTCACCGTCATAGATTGGAGCCACATTATACCTGCGTGTTTTTGAACTGGGAGCCTTATAAGAGCCTTCCAGAACTTATATAATCCCTGTTCTGATACCCCTGACACCTGTTGGAATTCCGCTCGAGCTACTGCAAGGTTTTTATCGTTGTTTTTTTCAGTCGGCTCTGCAGCAGCTGGACACCCACTTTCGGACCTTGCTGACAGAGTGGAGTGAAATCTTCCCTTCCTTCTAGGAGCTTCCACCCCAAGCCCAATGGTTCAACCCTGTATTGATCAGCATCTCGAAGCAATGTAGCAGTAAGTTTTCCCTTTTTGGTACTCCGACTGTAGACTCTTACTTCGATCATATCTCTTTTATCTTCAATCCTGCAATCTGCTTCCTCCAGGGCCAGTACTCCTGAAGCAGTCCTGCTCGGGAGTTTCCACCGCTGTACTCGAGTCTCTGACGAGAGATCTGGACCTAGTATCCGAATGACTCTGCCAGGAGGTGCCTGGTCTCAAGCTAGGTCCATGTACAGCCAGGGGGTCCAGCATTTGTAAAACGCTGGACCCCCTGGCTGTAAAACGCTGGACCCTCAGGAACAGCAAGTTTTGACGAGTTTTGGGCCAAAAACTCGGTGTCAATTTCGTTCAAAAAAAAARAAGAAGTCCATTTTGACGAAATGGTCGTTCAGGGTTGTTACTCTACCGTAGCCATGTGCCTGCCGCATGCTCTACTCCTGGTTGTAGGCTTGTAGCAGATTAACCCATCCTCTAGGAATAGCCTCAGTAAGCTCAGAGTAATTCTTGTTCACATTATGAAGACGTGTGCGAGCATGTGCCTGATCTGCGCTGGCTCCTTGAGCCTGTCCTGCTCCGCATCCCAGATGTCTTTCAATTGTAGGATTCCTTTCTTCTCATCTTCTGCTCTACCAGTTCAACATTGTTTTTTTTTCTTTTTCCCCCGGAAATCTACAGTTTATTCAAATTATTCTAACGTTACCTGCACCAATCTTTTTTTTTTTTTTTTTTTAACAAAACAACCCCCGCCAGTGATAGTGGTGCTGGTAAGAGCAGACACCACTAGCAACATGCACTTCGTGAAAACTGGACCGAAACGAAAGTCCAGTTTGCCAAATTATGCTATACGTTTTTCGGAAAACTAGTTTTTACGATAAGATTTTAAACTCAAGTTTAAGTGCCACAACAAGACCACAAAAAACTGTTTTTTTCGAGAACACAGCTAGCCCAGTGATCCATTAACCTTGGCAACAAAGCAGGAAACAGTTTATTAAAAAAATTGAAGGCACCCGAAGAAACGACCTCAGTACCATAATAGTTTTCTGGAAAATTTGAGGTCATCAAGCAACACAGCCACGAGAACATAAACGAAACAAAAAGTGGTTGGACTCTAGAAAGGACAGAAGAGCAAAGAAACCAATTCCCAATTGACAACACTTGGATTAAGCAAGCAACACACTAATTAATCAGATGAGCTGATTGAGCTGCCAATTTTTCAGTTCACTGCAAGTACAACGTGCAATAAGCCGCCCATGCTGCAAGTCCCAACAATCATGCAGACCGCCAAGAGTCATCCAAGCAAACCACGAAGAGCAGGTGGACAGGTTCCCATGTAGTAGGCAACAATGGCGAAACAAGCTCATACATAGCAAGAGACTAATGATTGAACATAGCCTACAGACAACACGACCACCGCAAAGACACCAATGTCTCAATAGCAAAGTAAGCACGCCGCAGACAAGTCAATGAAATCTACGTGGACCGAGTGGAGGGTCTGCATCAACTCATGCATGCCTCGAAGCCTCAGGCGTGCCACCAACCCTCTGCCACTGTGCGGCCCCGGGTATCGATCTCCTTGGCGGCAGTCTCAACGAAGCCTCTCCCTACCAACCTTGCCCTGATCCCCCTCACACAACGCAGGTCGTTCTCAACGACCAACACATGTCTCTTGGACAACAGTGTTGCAAAGGCTCCAGTCCCTGATCCTGAGAAAGCATCTACTATGTATGAGTCATTCGGGTCAGAAAACTTCTTGATCAGCCATTCATACAAAGAAATGGGTTTCTGGTAGGGGCACAAAATCTCGTTGTTTGCAGCAAAAGTGTACTTCCTCACCACCGCATTGTGATTCCAGCAGGTCATTCTGGTGTCAGAGTCGATGAACTGAAACTGAATGGGCTCCCTGCAGCCGCTCTCACTATGAAAACCAATAATACAATGCTGCCAACAGTTAGTGAGCTTGAGACGTGCAGAAGTAGAAACGTTGGGAGCCACCCAAATGCCCTCCTCCACCCCACAATTGCAAGCACTTGAGAATGTGGATTTCACATCAGTGAGCATGTTTGATGAGCAGAATCCAGCAATGACCCAATAGGGTGCACATGTGATCTTCTTGAAACTCGCAATGCTGGCCTCTATCTGGGGCTTCCTGAATGGCTCCTCATCATCCATAGAATCCTCTGCGTTGTAGCCGCAAGGGAAGTCCATAATGCACAAGGTGAAGGGGAGTCTGTCCTGCACTTTCTCAGGTAGCTGAAGCATGTCACAGTGCGCCACCTTCACGGTTCCCTTGTAGCCCTCCCCCTCGAAAGCAGTCCAGTTTGTCAGGAGGCCCTCAGGATCTTGTGTTGCTGCAGTTTGCTCCTCTTGCTGTGAAAGGCGCAACTTGTCCTTGTAGTTGAGGGCCTTGGCAATGTACAGCTGCATAGCAATAGGAGTCTCCTTGACATTCCTCTCATACAACCCATAGTATTGCGACAACATAGCCTCTTGCGTATGCACCGGGAACTCCTTTTTGGCAGCCTCCCAACTGTCTGCCCCCACCCCTTTCACGAAAGCAGTCACTGTCCTCTGACGAATCTTGAGAAGCGTGAACTTGTTGTTCATCTCGTCAAGCGACAGGACCCCGCTCTTAACTTCTGTGAGAATAGGGATCACCAAAGCATCATTAAGCCCAGCCATCCCTAGCAGAGGCTTGTAAGGCATATCTGCAGACTCACTCACTATCTCATTCTTCTCAGACACGTTCATCAGAGGATTGAGCGCCATGAGAGCAAGGCGTTCCTGGGAAGCATCCTTCGTATTCCGTTTCCCTGGCCTCCCACCCTTTTTCCCTTTCCCCGCCTCACCCTTTTTCCCTTTCCCCACCTCGCTGCCAGATGCACTTGACTCAGCAACCTCAAGAGACCTTGCCACCCACGCCCTTCTTCATCTTCACAGCTTTGATCTTGGCCTGCTCCCACAGAGTGAAAATGTCAGAGAGCAAGCCCCACACCTCTGGTCCTTTCATGCAAATCTGAAGCTGAAGATCCAGGGGACCAATATAGTTCCATGAAAATGTTGGGATACCGAGCGCCTCCAAGCATGGCTTTTTCGCCTCGTTCGTTTTCTCACACCCCAACCTCTCAAACACGTCCCTCCAGCAGCGCATCCTCTGAACGAAAGTCAACTTTTTGTGATACCCAGCAGCATTGTTGTGCTCATGGCCAATCAGCAGGGATTCCTCCACTGTAAGTCCAACGTACACATAGTAGACATTCCTCTTGTAGAAGTCAACCTGAGGGTGCTTCACCATCAAACGGCTCCGTGCCTCACGACAGTGGCCGGCGCCCAAAATCCAGATGGTGTAGCCGCCTGAGCGAAGTTTTTGCAGGTCCACCTGATCAACGGATGTGCACTCGGCAGGATCAATCATGCCCACCCAAGGCAAGTGGTCCCCACAGGGAGCCCTCTCCATAGACGCCATGAGAACCGTAACATGGTACTCTGCAGGGAATCTGACCTCCCTTGATCTTCGTCCATCGGCAGTGTCCACAGGAGGTCGGTCCATACAAGACATTGGCAAACTCAAGATATCTGCAGTTACCTTTTTCGCATTCAAGGTAACAAGCCTACTCCACATTCTCTGAAGAGGCGTCATTCCCGCAGACTCTGGTTCAAGATCCACGGCAGCAGTAGCAGTGCCTGCGGATCTCTTCCCCTTACCACCAGATCCCCCACTTCCCTTGCGAGCCTTTTTGTGTCACCCTTCTAGAGTGCACTCGTCTACAACAGGCAGCCTAGTAGCAATGGCTTTCTTCCTTTTTTGATATTGTTGCTGTTGTTGTTGTCCTACGGACTGCGCAAGGTGTCGTTTAGGTGCAGCCATGCTTGTATTGAGAAGCACTTAGGGTTGCCGACGTGAGGGTCCCTCATGAGATTGCCTGTTTGAAGCTCCTCCACCGGAGTCCGCAGACCGCACCTGGGACACCGCCGGTGTCTGCTGAACGGGAGCAAGACCAGGACCAGGCATTTGCGAAGAGGACAGGAAAACACTGCCAGCAGGATGCGGCACATTACGAGGCATACCCATCTGCGCAGAAGGATGAAAGATACCACCACCAGACACAGCAGGGAGGGGCGAAGACTGAACACCCCCAGAAATCTGGCGGTTTGTCATGAAAGTGGTGTAGTAAAAGGCAACGTAGGTACCCAGCGTATTGCAGAACACCTGCCAAGGAGAAAGAGAAACAACTGCACCGAACAGACAACCAGTCGGGCAATCTGCTGAGGCAAAAGGAACGAATCTATAAAAAGAAACAAACAAAGGAAGAACTACCTCAGCCAACTAAAAGGGGAAAAAAAAAAAAAAAAAACGCAAGAGAGAGGTGCAAAAGGAAAAAAAATAAAAAATAAAAACGCAAGAGAGAGGTGCAATTGATTGATTGACCGATAGTTTGGCTGATTGGCTCATTGGTTCTTTCATTGGCCCCCCAGAGGGACGGGAGCAGCGAAGGGCAACATAGCAGATGGAGGCGGGGGAGCAACGGGGGCGGTAAGGAGAGGGAGCGGAGGCACCCACTGGGTCAACAAAACAAGTTTGGAGGTCGGGGATAGCAGTAGAATGACCGTTGTGCATGCGCAAGAACAGACAATGAGCTAACATGGACATCTGTGACATTGTATTGCACAGGGACGCCGGACACCGCTTACAGCAACTGTTGCTACCGACCAACAGATGGAGCCTTGTCAATTTCGAAAAAAAAAAAACAGAACCCAGAGAAAAAAAGAACTTGAAAACAAAAAGGGAACGACTCGCGGAGACACCTGCAGGGGAAAGTGATTTGTGACAACTACCCTGTCCTGGTGTCTCCACGGGTCGATTTCCGATTGGAATCGATTACGTAATCGATTCCAATCGGGAATCGATGAGAAATGCGCCTGGAGGGGGCAGTGATGCAGATCAGTGCACCCTCCACGCGCGTTTCTCATCGATTCCCGATTAGAATCGATTCGTAATCGATTCCAATCGGGAATCGATCGGAAACGCGCCTGGAGGGGGCAGTGATGCAGATCAGTACCCCATCCAGGCACGTTTCCGATCGATTCTCGATAGGAATCGATTACGTAATCGATTCCAACCAGGAATCGGTTGGAAATGCGCCTAGAGGGGGCAGTGATGCAGATCACTGCCCCCCGCATCACTGCCTTTCCAGGCGTATTTCCAATCGATTCCCGATTGGAATCGATTACGTAATCGATTCCAATCGGGAATCGATGAGAAACGCGCCTGGAGGGGGCAGTGATGTAGATCACTGTCCCCTCCATGCGCATTTTCGATCGATTTCCGATTGGAATCGATTACGTAATCGATTCCAATCGGGAATCGATAAGAAACGTGCCTGGAGGGGGCAGTGATGCAGATCACTGCTCCCTCCAGGCGCGTTTCTGATCGATTCCCGATTGGAATCGATTACGTAATCGATTCCAATCGGGAATCAACGAGAAACGCGCCTGGAGGGGGCAGTGATGCAGATCGCAGTCAACTACTGCTCGCACCTCTTCGAGTCGTAAGCTCTGTGTGCGGCAATAAGCCTGCTCGGTAGCGAGCAACCAGCGGTGACAGATGAAGATGGTAAGAGCAGTTGTCTTGAGGCAGAGTTGGTGTGTGATTGTCCCCTTTCGTTTGCGTGAGCAATGGGGAAGAACAGTGATCACGCATGTGTACTGACAGTTGGCAGGTTACTTGTTCCCTCGACTGTGGGAGATATGGAGGGTCAGTGCTTCAATACGTGAGAAAGAGTGATTGAGAGAGGGAGATAGAGAGAGAGAAAGAGAGGGCGTGACAGAGAGAAAGAGACTGCAAAGAAAAGCAGATAGATAGATGGAGAGAGAGAGAGAGAGAGAGAGAGAGAGAGAGAGAGAGAGAGAGAGAGAGA